CAGGGAGGGGCCACCCCCAGCTTCTCTGGGAACCTGTCCCAGTGCTCCCACCCTCCTCTGCGGGAAGAATTCCTTCCCCATGGCCCAGCTCCATCTCCCTCTTCCCGGTTAAACCCGTCACCCCTTGTCCTGTCACTCCCTGCCCTTGGGAAAAGCCCCCCCAGCTTCCTTGCAGCCCCCCAGGCACTGGAAGGGGCTCTGAGGTCTCCCCGGAGCTTCCCTTCTCCAGGCTGAACCCCCCAACTCCCCCAGCCTGTCCCCAGGGCAGAGGGGCTCCAGCCCTCGGAGCATCTCCGGGGCCTCCTCTGGCCTCGCTCCAACAGCTCCGTGTCCTCCTGCTGTTGGGGCCCAGAGCTGGAGCAGAACTGCAGGGGGGTCTCCCCAGGGGGGAGCAGAGGGGGAGAATCATCTAACGAAGAGATCAGTGAATGAGAATCAACCTAAGGCCTTCCCAACACCAGACTTCCTTCTATCTTGCCAACACTGGGGCCTGCAACACCGGAGCATCCCCACCGCCACCTTCCTTTGTGCCTCCTCAGCGGGCAATGCAGCCTTGAGCCGCCTTAACCACCTGCTGCCCTCACGCCGAGGACAAGGCACATAACCCTGCAGGAGAAATTCCAGGATGCCAAAAGTAAACACTCCCATTCTCAGCTTCCCTCTTCATTTGAGTTTGCATTAAGGATTTTGCTTCCTGAGAAATTTTACTTTGTCCCCGCCGTTCCCTCCCCTGAGTCTGGTTACAAGGGGGAGAGGTTCCCACTCACTCAGAGGGTCACAGACAAACCATCATCCGGCAGCAGCCACCAAAAGACTCACGCGTACGGCCTGGCTGACTCACGGAGCATTCCGCCGCGACACAGTGTACGAGCTAGTGCTGGCATGGTACTGCAACCCCTCACCCGCTCCTCCAGCGAACTACACCCACATCACACAGCCCAGCGTCTCCCCTGATCGGTAACTCTTGGTGCTCAGGAAAGCGCTGCCCGTCATCTTCCATCGGCCATTCCGGGCTTGAGTGTGTCCCGGGGGAGCTGTGCCAAGAACACGGATCGCGTCACCCCACGAAAACCCGGGTATTCTGGTAAGATCCAGGGAATACACACAGAGTCTGTTGTAGGCCACATCCCTGTGTTACACCTGTACAAAATCTGCATTTGTAGGACAACCGTGTAAGATTAACACTCCTGCTTCCTTCTGGTAATTCACCTTTTACAGCAGCAGCCTTGTGTCGTGGTTTAACTGCGGCCAGCAGAATACCACGGAGCTGCTCTCACAGATCCCCCTCCCCTCCTCCAGCAGAGGGGAGAATTGGTGGAAAATGACATAGGGAAGCTCATAAAATTGAGATGAGAACTATTTACTAATTGAAACTAAATTAATATATACACATACTGCTAATAATAAATAATTAAAACGATAGGAAATAAACATTTGATACAGTTGCTCACCACCCACTGACCAGTGCACAACCAAGTGCTGAGTAGTGAGAGTCAGACCCAGAGAGACTGAGAGCTGCAGCCCGAGAGCCGCAGCCCGAGCGCTGTTGCAGCAGATTCCGAACGAACCTTATCAGCGATAGCAAGACCGGGAAAACTAAACCAACCCACCAACTCCTTCCCGAAGGAGCCAGCACAGGAGTTACCAAAGCAGCTCACGCAGGAGTCAGGAGA